TGTTTTGAGAATGATGAGGGCAATGAATGTACAAATGCGCTTTACACAATTGATGTGTGTATGGATTGTGATAAGAGTTGTATAAGCCCCTAATAAAATGATTTTTTTTAAAAAGAAAGAAACTGACGTCTAAGGTTGTGATCGTGAATGGGAGCAGACCACCACTCTTTCTCCTGCAGACTACCTGGTGCATTTGAACTGCTGACCTTCTAGTGAGCAGCTTAACCACTGCCTCACAGGGACCCTTCTACCATAAAAAGAGGGCCAGTAGTAACAGCAATCGAGGGCCATCTTGAAGACGAAGTGCTGTGAAGCAAAGAAAGTTCTTCACATACAGTGAAAGACTAAGGATCACATGCCATTAGTAGAAGCTCACTATGTGTCAGCTGTCACTGTTCATATTATAAAGTCTGACTTCTTATGTTGCATTAAGGTGAAAGATATTTTATGCCCAAAATTGATCTCTGCCAAAAGAATCTGTTGAAGAATCTTAAAAGTGAAATAATGGAAGAAACATAAGAGACCGAAGAGGGAAATGAGGTAAAGAGGACTAGCTTCCTGAACTATTGTCCGTTTTGTTTCTAATAATGAGAAAAGGAATGAGTGACAGTGACTAGGAGATCTCGCTGAAGCAAACCTGGAGGAGGTGTGACTCCCCCAGGAAAGACAGCGAGGGCCCCGCTCGTGGCAGCACCACGAGGTGAACAGACAATGAACAAAGAAACAGCCCAGCACACAGCTCTCCAAACTGAACACAGGATAAGCAAAATGTATGCAAAGGTAGCCTAGGTGCTTAGTAGGGCTGAGTATTTTAATAGCTGGCTCTCCATAACAATAGTTGTTTTAATTGGCGTGCAATTTGCATATGATTAATGGGTCATATAAAATACATTTCGAATAAAATTGGGTTGAGAGACTTCTAGGTGCACGCTCACTTTTTCTTGGTTGCCACGTCCACATGGATCTGTCTCTTCTTGGGGGGAGGAGGAGGCGGCAGCTCTTGCTTAGATTTTTTGACAGTTACTTGTTCCCTTATCCGAACAGTCTCCAAAAGATCCTTCTGGGGAATTTGGGACATTCCCAGCTTTGCTACAGCCTGAGTCACCTGAAATAAAATTCAAAGTTGTCATTTTGTTTA